CAGTAGGCAAGGTGTTCTTTTCATCATAGGCCTTGTTCTTCCTCCTCCAAACATAGCGTTGATCCATGGGCCCAAACAGTTCTAATTTTGTTTCATCAGTCCACAGAACACTATCCCACAACTTTTGTGGTTTGTCCACATGGCTTTTGGCATACTGCAGTCGACTCTTCTTATTCTTTGGAGACAGCAAGGGGGTACGCCTGGGAGTTCTGGCACGGAGGCCTTCATTACGCAGTGTGCGTCTTATTGTCTGGGCTGAAACTTCTGTACCCACATCTGACAAATCTTTTCTCAGTTCCTCAGCAGTCACACGGGGACTTCTCTCCACTCTACGCTTCAGGTAGCGCACAGCAGTCGAAGTCAGCATCTTCTTTCTGCCACGACCAGGTAGCGTTTCAACAGTGCCCTTTGCCTTGAATTTGCGAATGATGCTTCCTAAGGTGTCTCTTGGTATGTTTAACATCTTTGCAATCTTCTTATAGCCATTGCCCTTCCTGTGAAGAGAAATCACCTCTTCTCTTGTCTTCCTGGACCATTCTCTTGCCTTCACCATGTTTGTAACCACACCAGTAAATGTCTAGAAGGAGCTGAGTATCACAGTCATTTTAAAGCTGCCTAATTGGTGCTTATTATGCTTGATTGCTGCTCGGTGACATCCACAGGTGTTTTCAATACCTGATGGAAAGCACCTGTATGAACCTCTGTTCTTCAGAGTGGTAGTCTTTAAGGGGTTGAATAATTGTGGCAATGAAGAAACCACATAAGAACCATTTACTACTGTATTACATAAACAATTGATGTCATTTTAGTTGCATTTGGGTAGTTACAACGTCCTTGTAGGATTTGATTCTGAATACAATTCCAAATGTACACTATAGTCCCTAAACCCCTTTACAGCATTGGGGGTTGAATAATTTTGGTCACAACTGTAAGGCCTTAACCTCCTCCATAATGTCCAGGGTTTCGTATATAGCCCCCAGGAGCTCATCAACCTCCTCTAGGGTCAACTTATACCGGGAGGGGCCCCTCCCTTCCTCCGAGGGACCCCCACCCGCTGATTCCTCCTCAGACTGGGAGTCCCCCACTGGTTCCTCCCCGGTCATAAAGGGTTCCCGACGACTCACCGAAGCCACCTGGGGGGGGGGGGGGGGGAAGTGTAGGTAATGGGAGGGCAAACCTCTCCATGAGGGACTTGAAGGAGTCGAAGGTGGTAGCCAACTCCTTCACTGACCTGGCTAGGTCCCCCTGTTCCGGCTTCTCCTCCCTCACCAACCCCTGTATACATGGGCCACAAAGAACCTTTCGCCAAGATTCTTTTAAAACTTCCTTACAGGAAGGGCATCTCCGCTTGGGCTCCTGGTGCCTAAGTTTAGCTCGGGCCTTGCCCTGAAAAGACACAAAAGAAAAGGGGGGAGGAGGGAAGCCCAATCAGTCCGACACTAAACACCCCCCCCCCCTGCTTCCCAGCAGAGCAAACAAGGGCCTGAAAAACCGCAGACCCCTTGCCCTACCTTCCCACTGCTAGGGGCCCACAGGTAGGGGAGGCCTCCACTGAGGCACCTTACCTGTGACTGGCTGGTGCTGGCATCTCCTGGTCCCGGGTGCCTCCGACATCCCGTACCGGAGGGTGGTCGCCTGGTGCAGGTCTGTCCCCCAGACCGCTGTGCACCGCACCGCCATTTTTGAATTTCGCGCCGCTGTGTGGTGTGAAGGCCGCGACCGGAAGCGGAAGTCGCGGCCCTGGGTGAAGCCCCGCCTCTTCCGCCGGAAACCGCCGTCTCCCGACGTCCGGCCCGGCAAAGCCCTCAGACCGCCAGCATGGGAAGGAGCGGAACTCCCCCCGATCCTCCCCAGACCTCACCACGGCCACCCCGACGCCCCCCCCCTCGCCGGAGGGGGTCGGGGGGCGAAGAGCAGGTAAGTGCCCTGTCCCGTCCCCCGGGATGCACTCTCACTGCTGGCAGCCTGCCCTGGGAGGATATGCAGCCGGACACTCCGGCCTTCACTCCCAGCTGCGTCGGGCCTCACAGCCGGCTATCCGGCCCTCGGCTCCCCTATCGTCTTCCTGCGCCTCCTCGTGTCTCCCCACCGGAGGAAACACCTGAACTGAGGTCAGAGGGGAGTGGAGCTTTTTTATTGTAGGTGGAGGTGTTTCCTCAGATGGGGAGGAGCCGAGGTCTCTGAGTGCTGGCCTGAAAGACGGTAGGGGAAAAAAACAAACCCTCTAGCAATACACACCAAACTGAGCATGTGAAGAGTGACTCAACACGATATGTCTTATCATGAGATAAGAGGGGGACACTGGAAGAAGGGGAGAATCAGAAAAGTTCGGATCAAACATCGTTTTTACACAATGCAAAGGATTAACCCCTTAGATTCCACAGTGAGTATAACAAGCATGCTTTACTGCATATACAGACTGATTTTACTGTTTTGGATTTAGGAACACTTTAAAGTGGAACCAAAGTCTTTTACCTAAAAATTGGTAGCTCGGTTTTTATTGCAGAAGACAGTATTTGTCTCCTCTACCATTAAGGCCCGTTACACTGACAGTCCGCTTGGATCCACCTGCCATTTTTCTTTCTAGACTGGCCCGATCGGACCATCCATAGCACTCTATGGACCAGCGGGTGTGACAAAACATGTGTCCGCTTGCACCCACCGACATCTGCTCCAATCCTCTACGCTAAAAATAGACAGATAAGGATCCGTTCCCCGTCCGTCTGGTGGATCAGATAACAGTTGGGTGGAAACTGACAGGAGGTCCATTTTCACCCAACCACTCGATAGAAAACAGTGGGCTGTATCTGCTCTGCAGTAGCAGAGCAGACACAGACCTGTCATCCGCTTGCTCAGCGAGGATTAGCGGGTAAGATCCCCTGCTGAGCAAGTGGATCTGCTGACAGGTCTGCCCCGTCTGAAAAGGACCTAAAATGTCTGCCTTGCTTGCTAGCAAACAGGGAAGGGATAACCTATCTATCAAGGCATGGCAGCATGGACCCACCTCTGAGGGAGCTTAATTAGCTTGCCCTACAATCCTAGTAGAATGCCGTGATGATGTCAACATCTCTATCCATCAGGGACCACCTATTGACTGAAGATCCTCCAAAAGAAGAAGAAGAAGAAGAAAAAAAAAAAAAAAAAAAAAAAAAGGGAAAATCAGTGTGCTATGTACCTGACCTGAAGACTTTAAACAGCAGACTGTTGATGGAGACCTCCATGGGAAGAGAATATGGAATACAAGCATTTATATGCTTCTGAAAGCCATTGTTTCTGTAGTACTTCCTTACATGGATCAACAAGGATCCTCTTCAAGGTGAGAATTTAATTATATATGTTGCACCTTCTTAGATAGGTGCTAGGATAAGTTTGATTTAATGCAGGCTCATTGTATTCAGTGGAGCTGTGTATATTTTTGACTGGGTAATTTAGCTTGCCTTGCTGCAACCAGTGTGACTGCAATTAATTTGTTACATCTGTTCAGTGTTCTCAGACTGATAGCTGCCTCTGCTTTCCTGAAATTACTAGAACCTTTCTGAATTATAGGTGTGGGACTATGCAGATGGCAGCCTGAATTTTTAGACAGCCCTGGCCAAGGAGTCAAGGCCCTGAAGGATGCTGGGTAACTGTATATGTTCTCTGGGCACACTGAGCTCTGAGTCTTTTCCTGTTGGAGAACACAGCCTAAGAGGGACTGTTTGCTTCCCTGGGTTATCCTCCCATATGTTTGCTGTTCTTGAGGCTTCAGGTGGGCAACCTGAAGGCCTAGATGTGGAAGGTGTAAAGAGTTGACTAAGGGGCTCTCTGCTGAAGATCTAGTCTGTTATCATTGGAGGAAAGTGTCAGTTGGAAGGAGGCAACCAGTTGTCCTGGACCTTTTGTGAGTACAGACTGCTGAGATATCTTAGAGACATTTTGGGCAGCTGCCACCCCACCACTCACCTACTAGAGCATCAGCGATGTGTTTACTAAATGGGACACTGGCTGGTGTCCTGAAGTGGTCAATCTATCTAGTGATCTGTGAAGGGACTTTTGTTCTTGTTTGTTGTAATGAAGGAAGCTGGGTGTGCCATTACTGTTCTACCACATGTCAAGTCCACAGTTTGCTATATGCAGATACATCTGCTTCAGCCTACTGAAAGGAATTTTTTGTCCTCAATTTGTACATAGTCTTTGGAGTATTCCACTCAATTCCCCTATCCAAGTTGACCAAAAATAAAACACCCCCCCCAGACCAGTCTTTGAAGAAATGAGTGACTGTGTTCATGTGCTTGCCTGCAGGGCAATCCATTGGAAAAGTACCTGGGCAACTTTCCAATGGAATAGTGCTCCATATATAAAAATACATTATGTTCATAATATTACAAAAATACGCATGTTAATTTAATTCCTGATTTATTGATAAAACTCTAAACTGTTATTATGCATTTTCTAACAGGGGTACCCTAAGAGTACACATACTAGTGATGTTAACGCAGGACATCAAACAATTTCACATGGACAATGTCCTGTAGTGCAAACCACCCACGTACAATATGTCATTCCATCTAATAAAAGGAAAGCCATTAACAAAAGAGTGGGCCTCAAGTATCAAAATGCCTCAAATGAGAACTCCTTATTGCGCTTTGCCAATCTGGTTCAAAGCCTTCAACCAGCAGCTGCAAAACAGAATGTTTCTGTGCAAGACATAGTAATGAATGAGGCTCCAGTAGAGGGGTTCTTGGGACTATTTCTATATCAGGGCGTTTAAGGGGAAGAGGGAAAAAAAAAAAAAAAAATATTGAGGATCGTTGATTAGAATTGTATCCTAAGATGGAGACAGCTGTAGGCAGACGTTAATGAAGGTATCCAGATTTTTTTTGAGGAGACTGCTTCAATGCCATATGCGAAGACTGTTGTATAGGATGGGACAGCTTGCAGAAGGCAATACTAATGGAGTGTCAGTTTGTATTCTATGTACACCTCCATCTCTGAAAGCACGATGACAGTCCCCATGGAGGTTATTGGTCCTTCTTGCTTTCTTTTGGAGAGTTTTCTATTTCAGCTACCTCCGACTCTTGCTGGGGCTCTTCTTGGTTCTTTCCGAACTTCTTTGCTTTCTGGTAAAGTTCGTTTAGATTGAACTCTCGGATGACATTTTCCTTGAAGGGATGAAAAAAAAAAAAAAAAAAAGGGTAATAGAAATCAGACTCCAATAGATTGGGAAAAAAAATAAAATAGGACAGTATGATAAAATATGACCTATTTCCTTTCCTTGTATTGAGACAGAACAGAAAAATTGTCTGTTTTATATATATATTTTTTTTTTTTTATTGGCTCCTGCCACTTAGAGGCATGTGCTATAACTGAGCTGAACGCAAGGTAAACAGGCTCTGTACTGATCTTAGACAAAAACAGCAGCAAAACCAGGCAAATACTATCTAGAGGTGAACACCCCTTTTAGGGCTAATAGAATGGTCTATATTAAATTCAAAATATTAACAACATACAAGGGTATCCATAGCTCTGCCCTGGGCTACATCACCAGTCTCCAAATATCACCCAAACCATCCTCCTCTCCGCTCCTCCCCAGACCTCCTGCTCTCAAGCTCCCTCGTCTCCTCCAGAACCTCTGCCATCCTCTAGAACTTTCTACCACAATCTGTCCAGCCATCTCCTATTTCTGGCCACCTTCAGGTAAAAACCTCATCTCTTCAGGGAAGCCCATCACACCTCCAATTAACAAATGAACACACACAGATATAACCTTTTGTACCATTTGCCCCACCCTATTCGATTTTAAGCTCTTATGAGCAGGGCCCGCCGAACCCTCTTGTAACTATAATATCTAAAATAAATTAATTATAATACCCACACACAGATTGTAATCGCATATAATGTAGGAACTGTGATCCTTCACTGTATGAATGAGGGCCTGCCCATGTTCAGGGTCAGAGCAGAGAATGAAATAAAGCATGTATTCTTTGCTATTATACTCCTCTAGACAAAACAAATTCAGCTTGAAAGATAAAGTTTACAAAATTTTGTCTGGTTACCTGAGTGAAAGTCCAAGATACAGCACGTCCCTTTTTATCAACCTGTGGTCGACGCAATACCTCCTTTCCACCTTGAAAGAGGATTAGTGTAGGAAGCTGCTTAGAAAGCGGTGAGGTACTAACACCATACCTACAACAACAACGCCGTTGATTTAAAAAAAGGACCAAAAAAGATGTATAATTTAGACAGCTATAAAAAACGTAAAGTATTGCTAAAAAGAGAAAAAAGTAAAAATTACAGAAAGGAAAAAAAAAAAAAAATAAATAACCCCCCCCCCCCCCCAGGTGGATGCAGCATCTATCCAATGCTGCTTCTCTTCCCCACCACCTCTATATCGAGAACTGAGTGATCAAAGACAGCAGATTGTTCAGCTCTCAGTCTTCTGACTGACTCTCTGCTCTGCCTCTCCAGCACTCATTGGAGCGTAGGGCTGTGCAGAGGGCAGGAGCAGCTGGCACAGTCTCCCTGCAGCTCACCGAGAGGCTGAGACACTTGCTAGTCAGGCATCTGGGTGGATCCCAACAAGAATAACAGATCACCATTCTATGAACCCCCACGTTACTCTTATTTGAGATTTATGGCAATCCTTGTAACTGTTATTTTTCTGAGAAGCTAGGCAGAAGTGAAAAGCCAAGAGATTTACTTGCAGGCTCAACAGGTAGTAAAACTGTCAACAGCATTAATAGCAGTTTGTGTCACATTCTAACACTTGCATCATGTAAGTAATTTTTCTCATTTTGCCCAGAGTCCCACACTTTAATTCTTACTTGGTAAACTTAAAACAGAGCTCTGCCCAGAAGGGGAATTCTGCTTTAATGCCTCGTCCCCCTCTCCCCGGTTAAAGATTGGCACCTTTGGGGAGTGGGTATTTTGACAGGCACCTGCTCCCATTTCCGCTGCCATCACCTAGGCCAGTGATCTCCAAACTGTGGCTCTCTGCTTGCCTTTATCTGGCCCTTGGGGCACTATTCCTGCCACTGACCCCAAAAAACTGGGGCACGATTCCCCCCACTGACACCAATGATGAGGCACGAACTGACACAGTGGTGGGGCACGATTCCCCCCACTGACACCAGTGGTGGGGCACGATTCCCCCCACTGACACCATGGTGGGCACGATTCCCCCCACTGACACCAGTGGTGGGGCACGATTCCCCCCACTGACACCAGTGGTGGGGCACGATTCCCCCCACTGACACCAACAATGGGAGGCATTATTCCCCCCACTGACACCAACAATGGGAGGCATTATTCCCCCTACTGACACCAATGGTGGGACACTATTCCTCCAACTGACACCAATGATGGGGCACTGCTCACTTCCACCAATGCCAGGATATTTTCTACTCTCACTGGCCACAGTCCGGCCCCCCTAACGTCTGAAGGATAGTAAACTGGCCCTTTGATTAGAAAGTTTGGAGACTCCTGACCTAGGCTATCGGAAGTGGGAAGTTATCCTCCCTCCTCCCCAAGTGACAGGTCCCAGAAGACCATGGGACCATTCGTAAGGCACAGCACTACTCGTGCATGGACAGTGGGCACCCATCTGTAAAGCTGCAAGCTGTCATAGCTGGGTGCCCACACCTGGAAGAGAGGATGGCTGGTGAAACCAGCTGCAGCGAGAACACCACTAGATCCTGGAACAGGCGAGAGAGTGTTTTAAAAAAAAAAAAAAAAAAGTCAGTTTTTTGTAGGTACCGACTTTTTTTTCCAAATTTTGATAGATTTGCTTTAACTGAATTTTGTGCTTTATAATATCTGCAGCCAAAACAGATGAGTTGTGGATCTTCCAACTGTCCTCAAGTCTACAACAAACTCTACTTGTTATGAGCTTGGACTAGGATCTGAACCCAAAGTGTGTGAGCCTGCCAGGAAGTTGTCACCATAAGCACTGGCAACATACGATTGGCCCAGGACAGGTGACAGGTTCCTGGCGGGACTCACATATGGGTCCAGATCCCAGTCCGAACAAACCCAGGCTCAGCCCTATTTACCACCATAGTAATGTACTTTCATTTCATGGTGTATAAAATACATCTAGATAGATATGTGACTAGGACTTATTTCTGGACTCCAAGTCCTCTAATATCTTTCAAGAAGAGTTCATCACTCAATTGTACATTACACAAATATCCACCAAAACATGTATACTGCAGGAAACCGTGTGGAATGATGCTTACCTTGTGCTGACATCAGGATACCGGCCTATATCAACCTTCCCAAACTTCAGACCAGCACAATTGTACCTATTAAAATGCAGCAAGATACAAGGATTAGGATGTAAAATGCCACCATACCTCCCCAGACATTGACCTGTCATGGCAACAACAGTTACTAACCCCTGTGCAGGGTAATGACCTACCTGAGGATTAGCTGCTAAACTGCGTGCTATTAGAACAGAGGCTCCTGGCACAGGACAAGCCATGTACAGTTGTGTTTAAAATAGTGTGTTGAAAAAAGTGAATAAAGCTCAAAATCCTTCTAATAGCTTTTATTTCCATACATACAAAATCATTGGGAACACTACACATTCTATTCCAAATCAAAACATGAAAAATATCAAATTTGTGTTATTACTCTAAAAAAAAAAAAATTGAAGAAAAGTGAATATTAGACTGTTCAAAAAAATAGCAGTGTTTGTATTCTTCTTTACAAACTCAAACATTCACTATATAAACTGAAAACTGTTTGAAGATTTTGCTTTCCTTTGAATCACTTAATTAATATTTAGTTGTATAAGCACTGTTTCTGAGAACTGCTGTACATCTGTGTTGCATGGAGTCAACCAACTTCTGGCACCTGTGTACAGGTATTCCAGCCCAGGATGATTGGACTACATTCTACAGTTCTTCTCTATTTCTTGGTTTTGCCTCAGAAACTGCATTTTTGATGTCACCCCACAAGTTTTCTATTGGATTAAGATCCGGGGATTGGGCTGGCCACTCCATGACGTCAATCTTGTTGTTCTGGAACCAAGATATTGCACGTTTACTGGTGTGTTTGGGTTCTTTGTCTTGTTGGAACACCCATTTCAAGGGCATTTCCTTTTCAGCATACGGCAGCATGATCTCTTCAAGTATTCTGATGTATTCAAACTGATCCATGATCCCCGGTATGCGATAAATAGGCCCAACACCGTAGTATGAGAAACATCCCCATATCATGATGCTTGCGCAACCATGCTTCACTGTCTTCACAGTGTACTGTGGCTTGAATTCAGTGTTTGGGGGTCGTCTGACAAACTGTCTCCGGCCAACTAAACCCAAAAAGAACAATCTTAAATTCATCAATCCACAAAATGTTGCGCCATTTCTCTTTAGGTCAGTCAATGTGCTCTTTGGCAAATTGTAACCTCTTCAGCACACGTCTTTTTTTCAACAGTGGGACTTTGCGGGGGCTTCTTGCAGATAGCTTGGCTTAACATAGGCGTCTAATTGTAACAGTACTCACAGGTAACTTTAGACCTTCTTTGATCTTCCTGGAGCTGATTGTTGGCTGAGTCCTTGCCTTTTTGGCTATTCTTCTAACCATTTGAATGGTAATTTTTCGCTTTCTTCCACGTCTTTCAGGTTTTGGTTGCCATTTTAAAGCATTTGCGATCATTTTAGCTGAGCAGCCTATCATTTTCTGCACTTCTTTATATGTTTTCCCCTCTCCAATCAACTTTTTAATCAAGATACGCTGTTCTTCTGAACAATGTCTGAAATTCTAAGGAAAATGGGTCGTTCCAGAGAGAAATGCACTGTAACCAGCATGTACAACATTTGCTGCCTTCCTTCCTTAAATAAGGGCAATAATTGCCACCTGTTTTTCAAAGAATGAATGACCTCACTAATAGAACTCCACACTGCTATTATTTTGAACATGCCCCTTTCAATTAGTGATTCAATTACACAGAAGCAGCAGCATGCATGTCATGACTGTTGGATTTCTATTACTCTACTACACCTGCTAGTAAATTATTTGCCATGTAGAAATATCATTTCTGCCAAAAACAGTGATCAGGTTAGTGATGTCTGACTGCTATTATTTTGAACACAACTGTATGTAGCAGAATGGGGGTTAGTGCTGGGGCTAGATTCAGGGGAATAGGTTCTTGTTAGGCCTACTTTAGGAGCTGCATTCAATCTGAACATCGGCCATATCTTCAGTCTTGCACAGTTTTACAGGCTCCTCTTGTACTGAAAATTCTCACTTTGATTTCCCAGCAAACTCATAACAAAGCATGCATTAAAAGCTACAGCAAGTCAGCTAGAGCCCACCGCATTTCCTGGCTGGAGGACATCCAGCTTTATCTAGCCCTTTCCAACCCCCAGCCTGACTGTCCCTGGCTTGTTCCTTTCATTCACTGGATTTCATTCTTTTAATCATGGAGATGAGAGAAAAAAAATCTCTGTAGGTGTTAACTAAGTGGGTCTGCAGGCGAATTCCGTCACCTAGAAATGCCCAATCACGATGGACATCCACCCACCAATACAAGGTTTATATAACTCCTCCCAACAGTCTGCCCACTGTTTGCATAAGGGCTGAGGGCTCTTGAGGAGCACCAAAGCTACGTTCCCACTTATGCAGGTGGTTGCTGCTGCGGGATCACACCTGTTTCCACACCCCTACGTTCACTTATGCTGGTGGTTGCTGCTGCGGGATCACACATCCCTACGTTCACGCTTATGCTGGTGGTTGCTGCTGCGGGATTGCATCCGTTCCCACAGGCAAAAAATGTGCTGGGTATCATTCATCCCAGAAGCCAGAGGATATCTTGTAGCTAATAATTCTGACATGAACTACCACTGGGTGGGAACAGGCACTGCCATCACCAGTGACACTAATACAGTGGTCAGTGATCATACTATACACTAACTGTACTAATGACACTGGCTGGGAAGGGGTTAACATTTCAGGGTAGTTAAGGGTGTGCCTAACAAGTTATTGTGTGCTGCTTTTTTACTAAAAATCTGTTTCCTCTCCCTGCTCTGCAGGGAGAAGAAAAAGATTTTTCATTCTGTACAGAGCCCTGTGTTTGGGCACAGCCAGTCAGCAGGCCCCAGCTATAAATCATTGGCCCGGGACCTACTGACAAAATGCCGCCGTGGCTAATCACAGAAGGAGTCGCCAGACAGCGGGTGCCTGTGCACCCTGGGCCTGGAAACAGGCAGTGATGTACAGGTACGTCACTGTGCCCGTAGGAGCCACCTGGTACACAGCACAATGCGGGCTGGTGGTCCTAAAGAGGTTAAACATGCCATTAGCAATCAATATTTAATGTGCAGAAAATTTGAAAATTCAAGTTTGCAGCTCATATAGGGTACAATTCTACAGGGAAGTTTTGCAGTGCGTTTTTTGAAAATCCAATCAATTAAATTATAGGACTGAAGAAATTATTATATTATGAAAAAGCTCAGAATAACTTTTTGATACATCTCCATTCCAAGTTTAGCTACTCTCCAATCAATAGCAAGAAAAAGTAAAAATGACACATACTTCAAAGACAGCTCGGCATAGATGGGTGCAAAGGACTGGCACTCGGACGACCAGTTGGCGAAGAATTCTACCAGCCATGTGACCCGACGATCAGACTGCATCTCCTCCTGAGGATAGGAAAAGGTAGTAAAGAATAAATTAAGTGATCTAGAGGGTTGCACTATCCATAGAACAGAAGACCAAGTTTTGTATATATCTTCGGTGTCTCTTGAACTATAATTTCACTTTTGCAGCCAAATTGGAATACACCTACTGTATGTTGGTTACATGTTCCCAGTCATAGCATAAATTTTAAAAAAATCTCTTATCTTTTTACTTGCTGAGAAATATTAGTCTTCCCCTTTTATGAAATGTAAGGAAGGGGCTGGAGAGTTAGTTAGCATAAAGTGATTTTAAAGGATTTTTTTTTTTTTAAAATAAAACCTGTTATAACTTGCTCTGTGTAATGGTTTGGCACAGAGCAGTCCCGATTCTCCTCTTCTCAGGTTCCCTGCCATCCCTCTTGGCTCCTCTCCCCCACTGAGTACCTCCATAGCAAGCCACATGTTATGGGGGCACTTGTTTGTGCTTGCTCTCGAACCGGCTCTATGTGTCCATAAGACAAAAGTACGCAGCTTGATCCTACCACCCCTCACTGGTTGTGACTGACAACCAGTGTGGTGTTTCAGCCAATGAGGAGGGAGAGACACGCTGCTCTCATGCACATCTCTGAATTGGGCTCAGGTAAGTAGAAGGGTGGGCTGATGGTTTTTTTAACCTCAATAAAGGCTTTTTGCCTTAGGGGAAAAAAAAATCTTCAGGCTTTAGAGCCACTTTAAAGTGGTTTAAAAACTTGACTTAAAAAAAAAAAAAAAAAACCAATATCTTCTCCCTGCAAGGTAATATAATGTGCATCGCATACTAGCACATTATGAAAGACTTACCTTTGAATGAAGCCCTCCAGCAGCACCATTGCAAAAGGCTTCCATTTTCACTTGGCTGCTTGAATGGCCGAACTGCCGATGATGTTTCGGCCGTGGCACACAGCTCTGAAGGAACGGCACAGGTATGCCATTCCTTCAGGTGTATTGACACCGGCTGCTGCTCCATAAAATAGCTTCTAAACCATTAAGGTTTAGGAGAGATTAATTTTACCTACAGATCAGCATTATTATAAGCTCACCGGTAGGTAAAAAAAAAAAAAAAAAAAAATATATATATACACAAAAAAAAAAAAAGGGACTTTACTACCATATAAACGCTGTCTATACTGTGCTGGCCATTATCAGTTGTAAATTAGATGTGCGCACAGTCTGTTCTAACAATGGGTTAAAGATCACAAGGCTTAGGTGGTGTATTTTATAAATAATGCACTTACCAAAAAAAGTAAACAAAAAACACAAAAAAAAAAAAAAAAAAAAAAAGACAAAACAAACACCACAACACATACACAATGCCTAGGTCAGATCCCCAATTAAACATTGAAAGCCATTATCAGCCACATAATTCATCCAATTTACCTCTATTGTTTTGTCATTGAAATACTTGATATGTTCAGGACCCATATATAGCGGAGGCTTGCATGTCATGAGAAAAACTACAAAAAGGAGAGAAAGAAAAGGAAATTAAAATGAACAAGGAACATTCATATTATATTCTTAGATATGTGATGTGGAGGTTAACAAAAATATCGGAGCATGCGTGGACCAAATGCTCTGTAGCTCCCAGTAGCCCAAGCTGGACACAAATACCCATTCACCTATCCATCCATGCAAAGTCCAATATCTAACTTCTGGAAGGCTTTACGGAAATCTAATGGGGCCACATTAAAAGAGGAAACCAGCAGCAGGGATCTGTGGATTAGATCTTTTTCAAAGAAAGGCAAGCTTTTAAAGAAGAAGCAGCAGAGAAAATAAATGCACAGGTATGCTTTTGTACCTTTTTAATAACAATTTGAGTTTAATTGCATAAATCACATTAACCCTTTATCACAAGACATACTGTAAATAAAGTGTAAGTCTATTAGACAGTTATACTGCGGACAACATAGAAATTTCTATATTGGAGGTCCAGCTCCACCAGTCTGTTATAGCCTGTATTAGGTATCTCACTCACTGTGCTAGATTCTGAACTTATTTATATTACAATTTTATGTTGCAATGTACTGAGAAAGAAAAGTGAGACACCAAACTAAGGTGGGTAGAAATCTAAAAATTCAGAAGGCAAACCATAGAGGTGCCCGATTTTACATCCAGCCTAGATAAATGCAAATCCCCACAAGAACAGAGCACTCACCTAGGCACAGTGTGACATACAGCAAACCCATACGCAGGTCCAGGCGGAAGAACAAAATCGTATTGGCCACTTTACTAAACATGAAGATGTTCCCAATATGCTGTTCAATTGTAACTGAAATCAGAATAGTGGAGAAATTAAGTCGTTAGAGCAACAGCTGCAAGTAACAAGAGGCTGCAGAACCTACAGTGTACCCAACCCCTAGCACAAACACTGCAGCTTACAAGTCCTTAGATGTGATCAGTTTGTTAGCGGTTTGGTTTTTTTTTCCAGGCTTTTTCTCTATTCCAATTTGAAAACTCTGCCAGTAACACATTTGAGCTTAGTGTACACCTGCATTGCTCTCTGAAAAGTAAAGGATATCTCTTTTCATAGAGGGGTACAGGTGCGGCTGACAGGTAGCCAGGAGGTGATACGGATTCTCTTGAATGCCTGTTTTTTTTTTTTTTTTTTTTTTTTCTTTGTTGTTCACTGGGAATACCATGGCACTAGCTTAGCATTTGGATCACAGTTGTGGTATGGCCACATTCACTTGAATAGGTTGTGTTTTGGCGGCCATACTGCCAGCTGATTGTGTCCAGTAAAATATTTTGCATCGAGTGTAATTTAATCCAGAAGACTGGGGACATTTTGTGGAGAAGAAAGCATACTGGGGGGAGCTGTGTGTACCTGTTAGAGAGATTCGCTCTCTATTGTCCTGATCAGTCATCGGGAAGGAAAGGCAGGGTAAGCCCAAAATGTTGAGCTGCCACCAGAACAGGAATAGAAGAATGAGGACACCTGTTCCCATATCAATCTAAGAGGGGCTTTCCCTCACATTGGAAAGATATCCTCTCAATTCCTACAGGGCAGGATGTGAAGGGAAATCTCCCAAATGAAATCTAGATCTATCCAAAACAGAGCTCATATTTCCTCCCCCCACATACCCCCTTCTCCTGACTTCTCTGTCAAGATCGGTGGCACAACTATCAATCTGTTCCCCCATGCCAGGGCGCTGGGTGTTATCTTGGACCCGAAGTCTCCTTTTGGCCCGACATCCAATCCTTGTATAAAGTTTGGCACCTCAGCCTCCACAACATCTCCAGAATATGCCCCTTTCTGACCAGTGACACCACATACCTAACTCACTCCCAGTTTACCTCTCGCCTTGACTACTGCAGCTCCCCCCTCCTTGGCTTACCTCTACATAGGCTATCGCCCCTCCAGTCCATCACAGACATTGCTGCCAGATTCATCCACCTTACCAACTGTTCAGTCTCTGCCAGTCCCTCCAGTGGCTCTCGCTCACCCAATGAATAAAATTAAAAAATACTAACAACTTAAAAAGCCAGCTGGCCCCCAGCTACATCACTAACCTAGTCTCAAAATAGCAACCTAACTGCTCTTGGGCCCTCCCAAGACCTCCTGCTCTCTAGATCTCTTTTAACCTCCTTCCATGCTAGACTCCAGGACTTCTTCAGAGCCTCTCCCATCCTCTGGAATTCTTTAGCCCAATCTGTCTCACTATCTCCTAATCTATTCATCTTTAGACGATCCATGAAAACCCGTCTCTTTAGAGAAGCCTATCCTGCTTCTAACTAATATACTGTGTTTTACTTTCTCTATCAGCTTATCTCCCACAGTTATTACCCTTTTGCATCACTTGACCCTCCCTCAGATTGCAAGCTCTAACGAGCAGGGTCCTCTGATTCCTCCTATATTGAAACTGTAATGTCTCTCTTTATGTTGTAAAGTGCTGTGGCACTATATAAATCCTGAATAATAATAATAATAATAATAGATGGCAACAAAACCTGACAGTTGATTTGGCTTTAGACATACCTTAAAAGATAAGTATGGGATTTTATTTATTATTTTTTAAATCCTACTTACCTAGGTGGATGCAGCATCGGTCCGATGTTGCATCTGTCCGCCGATGGTTCTAAGGGTGAGAACTCAACGATCACCTGACTGCTGATTTCTTGCAGATGCTCACTGGAGCACTGGGCTGTGGAGGGGGAGGGAGCAGCTGGCTCAGTCTCTCAGCAGCTCGCTGAGAGACTGAGCCAGGTGCTGCTCTAGACTCTGTGGTGGATCCTGACTTTAAAGTCGGGATCTTCCCCAGCCTGGACCAGCTGAGTGACGTCAGCCAACAGCAGACTTCAGCCCGCTATAAGCTGAAAATGGGTCACATGAGTGCAGAATGAACTGCACTCCTGTGATCCACAGGAGAACAGACAAAAGAGCTTTGGCTGTACCTCTCCTTTAAGGGTCCAAGGAGGTATAAAAAAAAAAAAAAAAAAAAAAAGCCAGGAGTTAGGTTTTATACCCACAGATAAATGGCTCTTATCAGTAGAATCAGGCCCACAAGCAAAGAATATGTAATAGGTAAAGCTGTGGGCTGCAGAATGAGCACCACCAAGGCATTATGTAATAAGGACGGATTTAATAAAACTGGAGAGTGCAAAATCTGGTGCAGCTCTGCATAGAAACCAATCAGCTTCCAGAAATAATTGCCAAAGCCTTATTGAACAAGCTGATAGATAGATAGTTAGAAGCTGATTGGCTACCATGCACAGCTGCACCAAACTCTTAAAGCTCTGGTTTTTAGTAAATCTCCCCCCAATATCTTACACATGAAACATGGATATCAAACATGAGACACTTACTGCTTCGCCTGTTCTTCATCATAACAATGGCGCTGAGGAACATCAAGATCTCTACTTCTCTCTGGCAAAAACATAAAAATCAGAACATAGAAGAAGATTGTTCTTTATATTTTAAATATATACAGAAAATATCCAGGAAAAAAAGACCAGCTCAAGACTCTCTAGTGGATGTTGCGCCACATGACCACCAGCCTACTAGATCACTATGGATTTCTGAGTGTGGTCCCACAGTCCCACTACTACTACAACTGTAGTAGTGGTGCCACCGGCCAGGAACAGGTAGCGTTGGCCTGCACCCCCCCCCCCCCCCCCCCCCCCCAAGAAGAGTCACTAAATTATACATACAAGGCAAAGAAAAACTGTTAAGAACATAACAATGGAAGGGGGGAGAGAGACCCCTCCCCCCTTACAGCTGTCAGCAGACGTGTCTTTATATAGACCATACATATAGGCTGGCCATATATTGCTCATATTTCGGCCGATTCCTCCTGGCTCAGACAAGACTCAAGCAGTGTATGGCCCTTTTGGCATTGAAGAATCAATTGTTCAATCCAATTTTGTTAAAGGAGCTCATCAGAAAAATTCCAGCCAATCAGATGCAGGCTCCATTCAGGTATTCTGACAGCTGCTGGAGCCAGATATCAAAATACAATAGCCGGCTGGGGTATTTCCTCAGTTTGTAATGTTAGCGTGAATGGAGGAATCTATACAGTTTAAATCTGCCAGATGACTAGTCTGACCCCTTTGGCAGGCATAGCCATGTAAAATATTAAGTGTACTGTGTTTAACCCCTTCACGCCTAAGGATAAAACAAATCTTAAAGACTAAGCACAATTTTGCAACTTTGACATGTGTTAGCAAAACCGTACATATCACAACTACTTTATGCATCCAGGTGGATTAAACCTTGTTTTTTTCAGGACAAACTGGGCTTTCATTTGGTATTAAATATGATGTGAATGATATGCACTTGCAGTAACAGAAGGAAAAAGAGGGTTTCTTCATATACATCATGCCACACTGGAAAAACTTATAATATAGATAAATTAATTTGCTGCAACAGCAGATATGTTGTTTATCTACTAGAATTCCTCTGCTCTAAGCAATTTGTGGGACGTACCACTAGGAGGTGGAGAGACCGCCTACGAGAACATGTCTATAACATTGAGAGGTTACAAGGAACATTCTTTATCTCTGCATTATAGACAGCATCACAACAGGGACCCGTCTTCCTTTAGGTTTACGGGTATTGATGTGGTAATCCCACATTGGAGGGGCATGCACAAAACCAGAGTGGTCTCCCAACTGGAAACTAGACATATCTACGAATTAGGCACTTTACATCCTGCCGGGCACAACATTGAAATAGATATGAACTGCTTTATTGACAATAGTTAGCAGTGAATTTGACATACTGTTACATAATTTTACTATATACATACATTTTTTTATATCTCTATATACTGACATTTATTAACAGTGAATTGGTACACATATATTTTTTATCGCATATATTCCTTTTACCATATATATTTTGGTTTATTATATAAGTGTTTATTTTTATGCTCTACTTTGGATTTTACGTATACTTTTTATTAATTGTGGATTTGACTTGTCATTTTTATCAATTTTGAATTTGGCTTGTCATTTTTGTTGCTATCATTAATTTTATTATAGGTGCTTTAATGCCTTATTTTAAGGCGTTGTCTACTTTTTTTTTTATTAATACTTACCACTTTTTATTAATTTATGTCTCACTAAATTTTGCCGGGGTGAGACCATTAAATATTTCTATTTAATCTAACGTCATAACATCTTTTGAATGTTTGTAGCGGAGTTACACATCAGTATTATTGTATCCACTAACTGTTGGCAGTTTTATTGGCCACTTCTTCCATCATGACAGCTGGGACAATCTGCCTTTAGTGATTTCATATGAGCAATCAATCGTTCTTTCCAATCTCATTAACGCACCTATGTAGCTATCTTTTATCCACATTGTTCATGCATTTTCTATTTTCTCAAAACCCATGGCAAAATGGTGCCGCGCATGCGTGCGGACATTCAATGTATTTTGATCTTCGGCAAAATGGCGCCGACGTAATACACGCGTGCTATTTTGCCTATAAATTGACTGTAGTGATTATATGGAGTCATTGGTATCCAACCTCTAAAGAAGTGGTGCGCACGAAACGCATTAGTAGGAGCCAAGACACCATGCCGCCGGCGCCACATGGAGATCCGGCGGCCATTTGCTGAACGGTTAGTCCATATCACCCTGATGTCTTTTGTTCTTACTGCATTGGGATTTGCAAATTTGTTAAACAATAAAATATATCATTACCTACTACACTATGGCCATTTTCTATGGTCTCCTGTGCGGAGCAATTTATTTATAGAGCCCATCTGATCCAGCCATCCTTAAGTATCCAGAGAAGGGAGTCCCTTAAAGCAGGTATCTACACCTGCCCATCCCTTAAAAAGGGATCTCTGGCTAGCTGGATCTACCCGTGAGCTCCTGAAAGCACCACCTTACCTAGAGGAAGGATTATCCTGGATTAGGATCTTACCCAACTCCTAAACGGGACCTCTACAGAGTCATTTAAGTGAGTGCGTAATCTTACCACACTATTTGGAGCACTATTATTGAATTCTACTGCTTATTTGCACAGTGTCACTTAATTTAACATTTATGGACATTACTAATGTTTTTAGCACTGCACCTATTTACTTGGTATTAAATGGTAATAGATCTCTCCAGATTTTTTTTTTTTTTTTTTTTTTTAAATCAAAAAAAGAAAAACGGACCCAAAATAGTATAAAAAAAAAAAAAATTTAAATTTAGCTGTATATTTCTTGCTTCAACCATAACCTACCAAAGAGCAACCCAAAATAATTTCTCCTGCTCCTGACGATCGCAGCGATACCACATATGTGTATGTTAGTTGTTTGTACCCGTAGTACAGCCCAGAAACAATAGTGCGCATTTTGCTTTTTTTTTTTTCCTCCTTTATTATCCTGCCACTAACTGATACTAATTTAACAGAACAGACTGCATTTTTCCTGCACAGCACTGTACTGGAAGGCGGCAAAATGCATAAAGAGAAAAAAAAAAAAAAATGCACCAGAAAGCACCTGCATGGATCAAAATTGCAGCAGACCCCAGAAAAAAAAAAAACCCGGGAAAAACAGGCTTTTCTTTTTTAACTTTGCCAGGTGACTTGAGTACTACTTTGAAGCATCTCTGAAGCAACTTTCAGAGAATTCCTGGGTAATCTTCCTGTAATGTTGGATCCAAATCACATCAATATGAGGATCAGACTTGGAGGCGACTTCCATTAAAGTCTATGGGTACCAGTTGGATAGAAGTCCCCTTGAAGTAGTACAGGAAGCTTTTCTAAAGTCGAGGTGACTAAAGTAGTGCTAATTAGGACAGCTCTCATTGACTAACATAGGATCTCAAATGTCATGCGACTTGGGGGGGGGGGGGGGCGGTCTCACAAGTAGATTCCCAAGTCACAGCAGTGTGAACCGAGCCTTATGTAGCTGAGAACAGATGGAAAAGTGATCACTTATAACAAAAAAGGTATTTAAAATGTTTTTTATATCTATACATAAATATTTTGCCTTTCATTTCTATTTTGGAGCCCATTCACACTTGTTTGACTTATGTGACTCTGGGGACCAAAGTCACATGACAAGTTGCACCCAGGGGCGGACTGACCATTTAGAAACTCGGGTACTGCCCGGGGTCAGTAGGGGGCCCCATGAGATGCCCCTGGTACCTTTTTCATAGGCTTTTTTGAGTTTGGGCAAGGACACAGGGGCCCCATGATCCCCTATTGCCCGGGGGCCCCATGAGTTGTCAGTCCACCCCTGGTTGCACCCCATGTTGCCCAATGAGTACCATTCATATCTGTGTGACTTCAAATTGCAGTGACTTGAAAGTAGTTCCTTCACTGCTTTGGTCCAACTTATGCAACTTGAGAGCCCTAGACTTCAATGTAAATCCTCCAAAGTTGCGTGAAGGTCGCACCTGAATGATATACATGTGACTTGTGTGCAACTTTGTAGAGCACAAACCATAATCCTTGGACAAAGCCAAAGTCGTATCAAGTCGCAATTTTGAAGTCGCACAAGCAGGGGTGGACTGACAACTCACGGGGCCCCTGTGTTCTCGCCCACACTCAAACCACACCCAAAAAAGCCTATGAAAGTTACCAGGGGCATCTCATGGGGCCCCCTACTGACCTCAGGCAGTGCTCAAGTTCCCAAATGGTCAGTCCGCCCCTGCGCACAAGTGTGAAGGGAGCCTTAAACTGAATAGGTTGTTTTCCAAGGTGAGGTTTTACATACAGTATCTCCCAGAAGTGAGTCCCCCCCTCACATTTGTGTAAATATTTGATTCTATCTTTTCATGTGACAACACTGAAGAAATGACACTTTGCAACAATGTGACGTAGTGAGTGTACAGCTTGTATAACATGTAAATTTGCTGTCCCCTCAAAATAACTCAACACAGAGCCATTAATGTCTAAACCGCTGGCAACAAAAGTGAGTCCACCCCTAAGTGACAAGGTCCAAATTGGGCCCAATTAGCCATTTTCCCTCCCCGGTGTCATGTGACTCGTTAGTGTTACAAGGTCTCAGGTGTGAATGGGGAGCAGGTGTGTTAAATCTGGCATTAGTCACTCTCTCATACTGGTCACTGGAAGTTCAACATGGCAGCTCATGGCAAAGAACTCTCTGAGGATCTGAAAAAAAGAATTGTTGCTCTACATAAAGATGGCCTAGGCCAGGGGTGGGCAAACTTTTTGACTTGAGGGCCGCAATGGGTTCATATATTGGACCCGGGGGCCGAACCAAGAGTAGATGAATGATGTGTATGTGTCATCCATAGTAAGTATAGTAATATTCCCCCATAGTAAGCATAGTAATTAATCCCCCATAGTAAGTCATCCCCCCTATAGTAATTCATGCCCCATATTAAGTCCCCCCTGTCTCAATTCACTTACCTTTGCTCCGCGCGTTCCTCTCGCCGTTCCGGTGTAGCATGAAAATCTGTCTCCTATGAGGATCTGTCCCCCTTGACGTATCTGCGCATGTGTCAGTTTCAGGCATTAGCAGCCAATCCGCGATCTCCGGCACATGCGCAGATACGTCGAGGGGGACATCCTCATAGGAGACAGATTTTCATTCAGGGCGTACTGTGAGAGGAGCCTAGCGGGAGCCTAGCTCCGCGGGCCAGATTAAAAGGTCCGCCGGGCCGTAGTTTGCCCATTGCTGGCCTAGGCTATAAGAAGATTGCCCAAGACCCTGAAACTGACTGCAGCACGGTGGCCAAGACCATACAGTGGTTTCACAGGGCAGGTTTTTCACTCAGAACAGGCCTCATCATGGTCGACCAAAGAAGTTGAGTGCACATGCTCAGCGTCATATCCAGAGGTTGTCTTTGGGAAATAGACGTATGAGTGCTGCCAGCATTGCTGCAGAGGTTGAAGGGGGGGGGGGGTGTCAGCCTGTCAGTGCTCATACCACATGCCGCACACTGCAACAAATTGATCAGCATGGATGTCGTCCCAGAAGGAAGCCTCTTCTAAAGATGACGCACAAGAAAACCCGTAAACAGTTTGCTGAAGACAAGTAGACTAAGAACATGGATTACTGGAACCATGTCCTGTGGTCTGAAGACACCAAGATCAACTTTTTTGGTTCAGATGGTGTCAAGCTTGTGTGGTGGCAACCAGGTGAGGAGTACAAAGACAACTGTGTCTTGCCTACAGTCAAGCATGGTGGTGGGGAGTGTCATGGTCTGGGGCTGCATGAGTGCTGCCGGCACTGGGGAGCTACAGTTCATTGAGGGAACCATGAATGCCAACATGTACTGTGACATACTGAAGCAGAGCATGATCCCCTCCCTTTGGAGACTGGGCCGCAGGGCAGTATTCCAACATAACGACCCCAAACACACCTCCAAGACCACCACTTCCTTGCTAAAGAAGCTGAGGGTAAAGGTGATGGACTGGCCAAGCATGTCACCAGACCTAAACCCTATTGAGCATCTGTGGGGCATCCTCAAAGGTGAAGGTGTACAAGGTCTCTAACATCCACCAGCTCCATGATGTTGTTGTGGAAGAGGACTCCAGTGGCAACCTGTGAAGCTCTGGTGAACTCCATGCCCAAGAGGGTTAAGGCAGTGCTGGAAAATAATGATGGCCACACAAAATATTGACACTTTGTCACTTAGGGGTGGACTCACTTTTGTTGCCAGCGGTTTAGACACTATAAAAAAAAAATTTAACCCCTACCCCCACTTCTTAATTTTGGTTATAAAAAATTGCAGATAAATATTTTTTCTTCACTGATGTGCAGTGATTGGCCTGTGCTGGTGGACACCGAGGGAGGGGTCCTTGCACTGCTTTACACCGATGGGGCTGCATTAATGATATCACTGTAAACATCCCCTGTCATAGGAAAGCCGGTTATAGGCTTTCCTTCCTTCAAGCTGTGACCGAGCTGAGGAAAGAGAATGCTGATAACCGTCATTTGCTTACATGTGATCAGACATGACAGATCACATGGTAAAGAACCAGCGCCATTGGCTCTTTACCCTGACCGGTGATGCGCTGTGTCCAAGGAGCACGGCTCATCACCAATCACCGCGCTGGAGACTAGGCGCTCCTTCCTTTTTATCCAAGTCGCACCACAAGGACATGCGTTCTAGAGTCAATTGACGTTACACAATCATATTTGGTGGATGGTCTGCAGTGTTGACACGTGAAAGCATCTACAACACAAGTGGTGTGACCAGGACAACATTGTGTGACGTCCACCACCCGCAAGGACGAAAGGCCTGCCCAGCCCTCAATCTACTATATATATATATATATCTCAGAAGATGCCAAATAGCCACTCACATGAATAACTTGGAGCGCATCACATGAATAACTTGGAGCGCATTCCTATGACAGAAACACAACAGAAACACATCACTGTTCAGTAATTTCCTGGTGACGTTATCCTGCAGACGCGATACAGCGCATTTAGGTGGGGGGGAGGGGGGGGTGGGGTGGCATGCCTTAGACGGGGGGGGGGGGGGGGGGGGGGGGGGGGGGGATTCCAGCTGGTTTCCCCGCATACCTACTATTGTGGCAGGGGACATCACCCCCTAGCCTCCCGAACCCATATTGCTGTGATTGGGCTTATTATTTATCATCATGTGAGCAGCCATCTCTTCTGATTGGTTATATACAGAACCGGCTTCTGCTCATTGGAATAGCCTTCCCTAATGATTGGACGGTTCTGGACTCATTTGTTTGGTGGTGGTTTTCACCTGTCTGCTCATGCTTTCCAGAGCCTACAGTAAATGTAGGCTGTGGATCACTGAAAACCAATACAGATAGGTGCAGTGGGGAAAGGAAGAGGGGCTGTTAGGAGGGAATTATTACAAAGGTGGGGATACCCTTTAAACTGCTACCCCCGGATCTCCTGTCTCAGGGTGGCTCCTTTCTAGTGCAGTGTCCTATGGGGCTGGACACCCCCACCCCCTACACTGTGTACAATAGAAACACAGCCCTAGAGCATGAAATAGTACACCCCCTTGATCACACATTTCCCCAAGCTCAGAGCCAGCACTGCCCACTGTTAACTCTTTCCTGCAAGGACCAGAAGTTCAGGGAAGCAGCACCGAGAGAGCAGGAGCTAGCCTCATGTTTTTCTACTACTAGAATGGGCTATAGGACTCTTGTAGAACACCATACACCCCAGGCTAGTCACATACACACCAATTTACATAATCTAGTTGCAAAAAAAAAAAAAAAAAACACACACACACACACAACATGTCCATGTTTTGTAGTGTCTGATCAACAAACCTCATTGAGGGTGATGTAGAGCGTACGCGGTCCAATGTGACGAATGTGACGAATGTGACCTTGTGTGGGAAGAGGGAGAGGTAGCCGCTTTCTTGGCATGTTGCAAGAGCGGACCCACAACTGCTCCTCCCCAGAGCGCCGCCCCCGCACTTCCCGCCGGCTCCTCCCCAGAACACCGCCCCCGCGCTTTCCCCCACCTCCCCTTCCCCAGCCCCTCGTGCCTTCTCACCCAGTCAAAGTCACAGGGGTTGCCGTCCTCCCTCTGACTGGGCAGCGCCGTGCACACTGGGGGGATCTTCCTGACCAGGAGGAATGAGGCGGAGAGCAGCGCCGACAGCAGGTAGTACGGCTGGGGAGACCCATCGCCACAGGCCGGCGCCGCATAGATGAGAGCCAGCAAAGGAGCGATCACCGCCTTGGGTCCAACTGTTCACTGACAGAGACGGCGAACTACCCCCATTTCCAACCAATCAGCGCAGTCTGTCCCCGGCCAATCAGGACGAGCAGAACACAACCACACCCCTTGTGGTACACACTGTCCAATAAAGACCAAAGTGGGTAAATTTTCGTCACCGACAGCTAGGGTCATCAGAGGGTAACACTTAGATCCACCCCTTCTCCAGCATGAAGAAGGAGCAACCCCCAGGTTCATCATAGAGCCAATGATTGACCTTAGTTTGCAGACGTTTTGTTGTGATTTGGGCAGCTTTTCTAGACGTCCCGCCTCTTAGTTCACACTTGTAAAAACAAATCAGTGACAGGTACTCCAGGCTGGGGGGGTGGTGTTTTTTTTAGATTCACGTTTCCTATTGTTGATAGTAGTAACACATGAGAGCAGCCCCTAGTGTTTTCTCTACCCCCCGTGAGCCAATGGTTTAGTAGCTGCTCTGGC